TAAATTTGGAATCACATAAAGAAATGAGGACCACTCTTTCACAATTACTGATACAAAGAATGTAGTAATTAACTATCTTTGCTGTAAATAGTGTGATTTAGAATTAAAACAAACAGCTCCTCTCTTTTTTACTAAAAAAAAAGGAGGAAAATATCTCAATACACCCAATCTATAGCTTTATTGCTGTTTGCATACCTAACAATATTGTTGCCTCAAGCAATAGTTTTTTAGATCATTCTCTGGAATTATTTGTGTGTTAAAAGCTGAAACCGAATATAATTCTTGTTCACAGCAGCATCCCATAATCAGGTAGCACTGGGAATATAGGTTCACATAACAACTGCTAGTTAATATCTATTTGTTACTGTAATTTTGTGCCTCCACCTTGCTGCTAGTCATCTTTTCATCTGTTTCCATTCATCTTTCCCAGTATCATAGACTTCTCCAGAGACCTGGGTCTTTGCATAATGTGTCTAAAATAGGATAATTTGAACCTGGTCATTTGTGCTTTGAGTAAGAACTCTAGATTGATTTGTCCTGCGCTGCCTCATTTTGGCAGCGGGGAGAGAGGAGAAATGTTCCTGGGAGGGATGAGCAAAGAATGCGGGTAGTATATGCCAAGAGTTAATCTCTCATCCCAGACTAATTTTCTGGCAGCAGTGCAAATGGGACAGGTGACAGTTTGGCTCTTACTAAACCCAGACAAGTCATATATTTGGAGCCCTGCAATACCTAGCATCCATCACGGGATGGAATCTACAGCACGATAACTATTTGATCTGCTCTGACTTCTGAAGATTCCAGATGAGCCACTGGTAGCTAGAATGCATTTATAGCACTCCAGAGACATCAGGCACCATGTGTCTTCTAGGCCTGAGCTTCTGATCAAGAATGCTGGATGCTAATTCTAGATTTCACTGAAGAAACTACACTAAGGAAATGTCCCAAAGGTTCTTTTTCCAAAAGGCAACTGGGCTTCATTGGTTTTTTTCTTTGAAAATATTTCACTTCTCATCCAAGAAGCTTCTTCAGTTCTGTTCCCATATATTCAAAGGGTATTCATCCCAGATTGTATAGCTAAAAGTCTGCAGAGATCCTTAGTCATCCAATCCTTCCATTCCCCATTATTCTGTCAGAGCTGAAGAAGCTCCTTGGATGAGAAACAAAATGTCTTCAAGGAAAAGGAAAAAAAAAAACAAGAAAGTCCAGTTGCCTTCTGAAAAAGCATCTTTGGGACAACTATGACCTGGATTACTGAGAATCTCTACATACTTTTAGGTATACAATTTGGGATGAACACCCTTTGAATAGTGTTCAAAGGGAGTAGGAATGGATTTCCAGAGAAAAAATGGCAGACTATAGGAACCAGGAGCACTACTCAGGTGTCCCTGTGGACACAGATGTGCTTCAATGACCCTCTAAAAGAATGCAAATGATCAGCTGTCTGCAAAACTTTAAATCCTTCCATTCCCCACTATCCTATCAGAGCTGAAGAAGCTCTTTGGATGAGAAGCGAAACGTCTTCAAGAAAAAAAACAAGAAAGTCCAGTTGCCTCCTGAAAAAGCACCTTTGGAAGAAACATCTGAAGAAAACCACCAAGCTCAGAGAGTATCAAGGACTGAAGATGGGATTCAATTTTTTTTACTACTGGTTCTGTGGGTGTGGCTTGGTGGGCGTGGCAGGGGAAGGATACTGTATAAAATCTCTAGTCAAAAGTGGTATTTGCCAGTTCTCTGAACTACTCGAAATTTCCACTACCAGTTCTCCAGAACTTGTCAGAACCTGCTGAATACCACCTCTGCCAAGGACCCTATAGATGATACTAACTCTGTTTCCAGTCTGGCTTCAGACCCAGTTTATATTTGGAAACATCCCTGGTTGATCTTTTTTCTGATTTGTATGAAGAACTACATAAGAAAGAATATGTTCTTGTTGGTACACTGATTTATGAGTAGCATTTGATAACCTCAAATATGGCATTATTTATGACTACTTGTGATTTGGGGATACTAAATTACAGTGATTCAAATTGTCCCTTCAAATCAATTTGACAAAGATGTTTGATGCCTTGGCTTTTTGTTTATTGCACCTTGTGAGCATTTGTTTTACTCTCTATTTTTATCTATATAAAAATATCAGGGATTAAGGATGCATTCTCATTAATTTTCATATGTAGCATGGAAAACTACTGTATTTCTCTTTTACTTCCATGACCAAACCCCCCCCTTGTTTGGATTTTGAAACACTGCTTGAAAGTATTAACAGAGATATAAACCAGGTAAGAATAAAGGAGACATAGGCATCTGGTACAAATCACAATGACACCACAATGTGCATTCCTCCTGAGATGAACTGGGATGCTCTATCAATTTGTAGAATGCATTTTATAATTGATGTTAAATATTATAAGTGGTTCTGAATGGCATATAAGCACTAGAAGGAAGATATAAATATTTATATAATACATAAATCTGCATTTGCCCCCCCTGTCATGGAGAAAGAAGAAATGCAAATTGTAGTTTCAAATGATTGTATTTATGTCTGCTAGTGACATTTTTCTGTCAGTTGCAGCTTTACCCCATATAGTATATGATAACAAGAAGAATGACTTCATGGATTTTTTTTCCTGCTTAAACAGATAAATGTTTCTATTTGTAGGGGGGAAATCATACATTATATGAGGAGTGTCCATCCAAATGATTTGTTTTACTGGCTGTATGTATGAGTCATAATCTTATCTCTGAGGGGGAAAAATCCCTCAGAAACACTGACAGAATCACTGAGCCTCAGTTTTTTTTTTTTTTTTGAAGGCCTAACTTTCCATTTTGTCAAGAATTTAATTAATATGGCAAAATGACATTAATCTTGATGCACACCGAAGCAGCAGGAGTGAGTGTTGCCTTTCCAAAATAATTAAACTGTATAGCAAGAAATGAAAGAAGGGAATCTAACCTGAGTAATTATATAAATCCTTCCCCTGAATTTTCAGTAAATAAATTAAGGGCTCTTTGATGAAGTTGTTTGAGGCATAACTTGACAGGAAAGGTGACTAAATTCTCTCTATCCTTCAGGAACTGGGAAGAAGGATTTTTTTTAAAAAAGCTGGAGAAACAAAATAGTTTGGCTCTGTTTTTCAGCTCACTCATTTTGATTCCTCCAGTCTACGATTATACGAAGACTTCTCTTCAGCATTCTATTTATCATCCACATTCAAAGATTAGTAAAAGATGTGATGTTTGGAAACTCCTAAAGGCAGACTTTATGCAACATACTACTGAGAGGTCGAGTGCTTTAATTACAAGTTGCTCCTTGCCATTTGTTTCTTCAGTTATGGAAGGGTGACATTGGTATAGTTATAGCCTGAAGAAGTATAAACGAGCAGCTAAGGAAAGTTGACAATGGCAAAGGCAGTCAGTTTTTTCCTTGACTTTAAAGAAATGAGTTACTTCATATTTGCAATCCTGCATGGAGTATTTCTGTGCAGGTGTCAATTTGAAACGCTTTAGGAAAAGTTAGCTGAAAGTGTATTGTCTTCTGGCATTCTGCCTGTTTTGAAAATGATTTGGAGGAACAGCTTTAGAACTTGCATTGGCCCTGCACTTCTTTGCAATTCATTAAAGCAGACCTTTTCCCAAAGATTTCTGCATAAGCTTAAACAAGATCTAGTTATTTAACTCTTTATATTTAATGCAACTCCTAAAGCAGCCACATATTTCTTCAGACTTCAGAAAATTAATAAAAAGATGAAGTGCTTTAGAAAAGACAGATATTTTTTTTTTGCCTAAGATTGGAAGCACTTTAAGTTCATTCTTAAAGCATGTGTTGTGCTATGATTTTCATCCTGTGGGTTTATAATCCAGAAATAAGAATACAAAGACATTATTACGAGGATGTGAAATACTGTTCGAGGATGTGAAATACTGTAAAGATCCATCAAATGCCAACAGTTTCATCTAGATTCTACACAGGGGGGTCAAACTGGCAGCCCACAAGCCAGATGAGTCATGTGCAGGCCATGCCCACTCCAGCTATGTGAATGGGAAAAACATCCCAAAACGTCACGTGATGACAACCTGACTTGGCAGGTTTGACACCTGTGATCTAGAAGGACTAGATTGAATATCCTTAGGCAGGAGTAGCGCATCTGTAGCATTTCAGATATTGCTGAACCACTTTACCCATGGTCACTGAGAATTTAGTAACATTTGAAAGCCAGTTGTTTCTCTGAATTTGTTACAGAAGGATAGATTTCAATTGAATAGTAGGAGAAACATTTTGATAGTAAATAAAAATTCAATAATTGAATTAAGATAGGAACTTGTGTATTTGCAGATGCTCTTGCTTTCTAATTCCTGCATCAAGTGAGAAGTTGGTCGCAATGAAGTTTTCCCTTCAATTCTACAACTCCTTTTCTTCAGTTCCAGACAGTATTCCTTGAACAAAATATAACTTTTTTCAAACCCCAAGTTGTCTCAACACTGATGTAGCAGTTTTTGAACTCTTCTAATTTGGAACCTACTGTATATACTGTATAAAACAACAGTCACAGAGCTTAAAACAGAAAATCAATTGTCTTTGCTAATTTAAATGCGATAATTGATTCTGAACTGTGAGTTCCAGTTTTGATGGAAAATGTAAGTAATAATTTGCTTAAACAACACTTACCCCATCCTGGTAGAATATTTTGCTCCCCAAAATCCATATGATTCCCCCCCCCCACTATTTTTTCAAAGAACAACAAAGATCTGGTTTCTGGAGGTATGAATTATTTTAATCCTCATATGTAGTTTTGTCAATCCTTGTGCTTCTACTATCATTATTATTCTAGACATAGGTAGGTAGTACTGGGCTATAAACAAAATCGTTGATGAAGTACGAATAATTTCTGATATTTTTCCTGATATAATGAAATTATTATGTTGTTGCATTAACGTATGCTGATAAATCAGTTATCTAGTTCAATTCTGCAGCTCTGATACCCCAAATGAAAGGAAGGTACCTGGTCTAGATGCTTTTTTGCAGATTCGTCCATTCCCATATAGACCTATTGGACATCGGCCACAGAAGTATCCAGTCTTTGGAGGTTTGCGGTCAACACACAGCACTCCAGGAAAACAAGGTCTATTAGCACAGTTAGTAAGAGATGGTAGGACTCCTGCATGACCTGAAGGAATATCCAAGACCATTGCTAATTTAAAAATAAATCAGGGAGCAAATATCAGCACTGGCTAAGGCTTCCTGATCCTTTTATTCTTTCAAAACATAATTAATGCTATAGGCCCCCAAATTGTGTGCCAAGTATAAGAAAACCCTAAAGGCACCGCATATCAGCCAGCTGTTTCTCATTAAGGCAAGATTTATTAGCCCTCTAATTATATGTTGTAAAGTTTAGAATTCAAACTTGTGTGGCATTTATCAGGGGTGAAATTGACTTTACTTCACTGCTAGGAACACCTAGGTGGAGAAGTTTCATTAGGGGGCAAACTACACATTTCTCTGCAGGATTATATAATGAATTCCCAGAGGCTTCCTCTCCTTTGTGAGGCATCTACTGGAAGGACTGTTTTGCAACAGAGAAGAGTAGAGGAAGTCATGCTAACTCAACCCCTTCTTGCCTGATATTTTCTCCTTTAAACTCACTCAGTCTGCTTACAAATGTGTAAGCTGCACATTTGCTTACAATATGGCTGTGGAATCACCCAGAAGGCAAAGATATTGCAAAAAAGAGCATGCAATGCATTAACCCGTAATATGATTTGTTTACCTTTTACTTTATATGTTGTTTTAACCCTGACTTTATAATGTATAAATAAGGGATATGGCTTAGTGTCATGCAAAACTATCCAAATATGATTTATTAATTAAATCAAAGTTAATCAAACCATGACCTGGTAATTGTGTGAATCCAACTAGTGATTCAAAGGGAAAAGATGGTCATGATAAAATGATATTTATTTTCTCTCTTTTCCTATTTCAGTGACTAATTTACAAAAAAGAAGAATTCATTGCGGCTTTATTATATGCAGATAATTATTCGGTTCATACACTGTGTTCAATTATGAATACGCCCACAACTGACTGGATTCATATATCATCTTCAACCATAAAATAGCTTACAAATGGAATTATTTGGCTCATACAATAAAAGAGCAAGTAAGTTGCACATTTGCTTAGTGCAATGTGCCAGCGTAAGATGTTCATGGTCTGACATGCAGCTGTTTTCAGACAACTTTCTGAGAAGCAAGAATGGGAAGTAAGAAGTAAGAATGGGAAAATGATGTTTTGCTTGAAGGTTTTCTAAAGATTTCATAGTCAGAAACTAGATGACTTTTTTTAAATCTAGAAGAGTGCTATTTATGACCCCTAAGAAAGGCATGACTTATGACTCCAAACCAAAGGCTAAGACAAAAAACCCAAGCCACTGACAATAGGAGTCTAGTGCAATTTCCTAATCAAGTTCTATTCTGAATATTTATATTTCTTTAGTTAGTAGATGTAATCAATCTGACAAGATGGGAACATGCCAAGTGGAGCTAAGCCAGACAGGAATCTGCTCATTGCATAGCATCAACACTGTATCTTCTCAAAGAACTTTTTAAGAACCATGCCCACAACTGATTGCCTTCCAGTTGTCTGCTCTATCTATTGTACAAACTTTTTAAAAAAGTTATCTTTGTGCTGTGTTCTCTCTGTTTAGGTTGATATGCAGTGATTGCTTAGGAAAATAGTTTCACATAAGAGCTGACAGCTTGGAGCAGAACCCTTTGACACCCATCTAATTAGACTATACTTACCATGGACCTTGCTGGTATTAACATACTTAATTGCTGACAAAGTCCTTGCTTCTTGGCCTTTCTCAAGTTGTTTACTTTTGCTTGTTTTCCATTCACCTTTGATACTATGATGATTAGTAATGAAAGCTTCTATTCTGTCAGCAAAGTCTTCAGCTGCAATGATAGAGAGTGGAGGTGAAAAAAGGCACGACATTTGTTTTTGCTGTGATTATTGATGGAGGTGAATGCTAACATCATATCACATCCTCCAGGTTATTTATCCCCCCCCAAGACAAGTGTGGAATCAGAGAGATTGAATGAGTTAGCATCTGGGATTTCATTAGAACAGGATCTCATTTAATATAGCGGAGGATCCAGAAGTAGAGGCAGACAATTCAAATGGCTTACAGAATAGTGGCAGGTGTACAGCTGGAGCAATGAGTAACACATTTGCTTGACCAAATCTAAAAGAAAATCATGCTGGCTTAACTCCATCTGCCTACCCATGGATGATTGCCAAACTATACCACACCAACTCCAGGCAGCAGCTGGCTCAAGAAGAGTACTTTGGATACCGTTGCTTGAAGTGCTCAAATAAGTAAATCAACTAAATTGTCCATCAGGGGCCATTTAAAATATTAATTTCCTCCAGTAAGTTACAGAATGAATGTTCTACTTGGAGCCATGTTTCAAAGCAATTAGCTACTGGCTAGCTTTATTGGAAAGGTATGTGTGAATATATTAAGTCAAATTGAAGAAACAGTCAGTCATGGTGGTGCTCTGTACTTGAGTTAGTAACAGTTTTCAAAAACCTGGAAAATTATAGAAAGAGGAGGAAGAGGGGATTCACTGTATGTAGTTTACATAATATATCTTACATAAGCAAAAGAATTTCAATAGTCCCCCCCCCCCTTCTGGCACAATGTGATTGTTATTTCTTCAGTAAATCATACAAGTTGTTACACAATGTTATGAGTTGAAGAGCAGTTTTTAGATTAATCCCATCCACAGGAAAATTCAGATTAGAATGAAGTACTAATCATGACAGAAAAACCACTACAATCTGAAGAACAAAGAAATGTAATTCTGATGCCACTGTGTTAAATCAAATCAAATTCTTGGGTGGGAAATACTGATTTCATGGCCCAATACCTATTTTCTAGCAACAGAACACAACTCCACAGTCTCTTCTAATATCATGCTTTGGAACCGTTAACTACTGAAGTGTATATATTTCAGTGTTGTGTTGTATTCATATTCTGCAGTCTTTGACTGATGAAAAGTTGTTTATCTTTACTTAAGACTGCTGCCACTGAGTATAGGGGTATGTTAATCTTTGGAACACATTTGAAATTTTGAGACTTTGTGGTAGATGCAGAGTTGTCATGGGAATTTGTAATGAACAACATGGCTACTATTCATGGACATAGTCAATCACTAAAGGCGGGTTAGTCTTTCAGATGCTGTCTAGAATCTCGATGGGGCTTTGGTAAAGACTTCTCAAGACATATTAGTAAATAAATATGATGCTACTGGTATTTTGCTTTGCAGTTTGGCTACTTTCTTTTAATATATTTCATTTTAAAAAGAATATCTTCAAAAATCAGATGAGACAGGTCTGGTGGACAGTAAGTCCTGAGCTCATCCATTCTAAATTGCCTGTCTCTGACTTAAGAAAGAAGGACAATATGGTCTTTTTAGGTTCCTAGTGCAAAAATGACAGTATAACATTGGATATGTTAGATAGAGCATAGAAGTAGATTGGGAACTTTTCTACTTTTCCCATAGCTTCATGATTTTCTAGCTTGCTATATAGTACATAGTATAACCTGGTTTGCATAAAGGGAGGAACCATTGTTTAAATCAAAATGAGGTGATTGGTCGATTAGTTGGTTAAGAGTAAGAGGATCTTTTCCCAACTTTAAGCCAGGCATATAGAGGCATCATATTTCAGAGCAATAATTTTTTTCAGAGCAAATGTCACTGAACATTTGCTATGAAAAAAGAATTTTGCAACCAATAACCACTTTCATTACTTCTGTAAGATAATTTAAATGAGTGGTGTACAACTGCTGTATCAGATGAAGCATTTTAAAATCCTGAAAGTGAAATCCTGAGACAGCCACATTTCAGTTAAGGACAGAATTTTACTTAGGTATTAATTGAATCTTCCTTTCTCCAGTCACGCTTTCTCCAGTCACACTTAACACAAAAACACCAAAAACGCTTCAAGGTAGCCACAAATGTTCTGAAACAAGACAAAGACTAGAAAATAGTTTCTATAAGATAAAACTGTAAGCCAAGGGAAGACTGTATCAATATTGCAACAGACTGTTTATGTTTTCTAGCATTTTTCAGCTCTAAGCCATTGGTTTTGTCTCGACACATAACCTGTTGTTTGTATAATGAACAAAAAAAGAGGAGGAGGAGGAGGAGGAGGAGGAGGAGGAGGAGGAGGAGGAGGAAGATTGTTCTTGGATAGTTCATTTAATTGTTTTCCACACTGAAGGTTAATACTCAGGTATACATGAACAGAAAAACCAGGGAGGCAGTTACATCCTCAGGAGCATTCATAAATTATATCATGCATAATGAAGTAAACAATAAACAATTTATTGAACTTCCTCTGTAACACTCTGGGCACTTTTTTCCTTGAGGATGGGGTTAATCTAAAAAGTGCTGTTCATCTCATAAAGTTGTTTAACACTTTTTATTGATTTACTGAAGAAATAATAAACTTGTATTTAAGGGAAGAAGCAACAATTAAAAACAAGGATAATGTAAAGCAATAACGTTTAAAGTTTGGAAAGACTCTGGAGGAAAATTTAGACAATGTATTCAGAAATATATTTTCATAAAAGAGGGAAGGATAATATTAAAGCATCATTACCAAAGTTTAAGTTAACCACTAAATAATATTGGACTACATCAATGTTCTACTAACGGACTTCTACATAGAGACTAGGTCTTAGCCCTTCTGTCTTCTCTGTGTTTTGGTAAGTTCCCATCTTAGGATCAGGCTGACCAGAGGAGAATGTTAGATAAATATTAGATCCAGTAAATTGCTACTTATTTGGCATGTCTACATTTTCTCATGCCCCTGAGTGAAGGCATTAAATGTTCTTTGTAGGCATAATAATATTGCATAAAAGTGGATAGTATTACTTGATATAGAATACAGCATAATGAAAATTATTTTTTAGATAACTTATCAGGACAGCAGCATTATAGTTTTCATGCTATGATTGACCCCTTATTTCTGCATATCCTGTGCAAATAAGACTAATGAACACACATACACATTCACATCAATATGCTTTGATTAATGCCAGTCCATCATTTATCTTATTTTCAATTCAGTTCAAATTATATCATAATTTTTCTTATTCAGCAAATTTTCATTGACAAAACCCTCCCTTTCTTTTTCTAGGTACGTTTGAATGTATCAGAGATAAACCACATAAATATTTGAACAAAGATACTAATATTATACTATTTTGGCTCATAAAATTTATTTTTGGGCTGAGGCTGTTACAATTATTTCCTTAATTACTGTAACTTCAGTAACAAAATACTCACACTTGCAATTTCTACCATCACCTTTCATCCCAATAGGGCAGTTGCCACATTCAAAAGACCCCATGGTATTTGTGCAAGAGACATCAGGAAAACAAGCATTTGTTTCACATTCATTTATATCCTCTTGACAAGTATACCCTGTGGCAAAAAATAAAACTTAGATTAATAAATAGAAATATGTTGCTACTGCTGTTTAATCCTTTGCTTAAATCTTCGTGCACATTAGGCAGGCTTCCCAGGAGTAGAGTTGGTGAAGATGTTGGTCATTTGTCATTGAAAGCCCCCCAACAGACTCATCTGATGTTGCAGTTGTCTAGTTCCACTAGTGTACTGCTTCCCCAAATGTAAAACTGAATGTTAGCCACTCAAATAAAACTAATATAGTCTTAAAACCTTGTTTCATTATCACCCCTCCAGGTATAAGACATTTGTGCTGAAAATGCTAGTGGGAATTATGTAATTGTGGGCTACAAATTAGTCCTCAAGTTTTAATAGCAGTTTGATTGAAAGAAAGAAAGAAATCCATGATGGGAGTTGTACAAAACGATGTATGAATTACAGATCCAACACTTATAAGAAAGACAGAAAGCACTTTGTTTCTTTCTTTGTTAAAAAAGATAGCTGCCCATTCTCACCAGAAGTGACTTAGGGTAGCATATAACAAATAAAGTAAAACTACAATCTAAAAAAAATAATTATAAAAACAATAATTATAAAAATATAATTAGTAAAAATTAAAGAATAATTAAAAAGTGAAACTATTATCTTAGGAAACAGTTATGTGAAACTATTTTCCTAAAGCAGTCACTGCATATCAACCTAAACAGAGAGAATTTGAACACAGAATATAAATAACTTTTAAAGAAAATTTCTACTATAGAATTTAGACTGAGGTATTTTATGTCTGAAGGCAGTGAAAAGTATAGCAACCACATATTAGATATAATAAGGAACCCACCTTAAAATATTGCTGGTTCTCTGTGACCCCTCCACTCAAGATAGATGATATAACCAGGTCTCGAGGCTCTTCCTAAACATTAACAGGGATGGAACTAGCTTAACTTGGAGAGTGGGGGAGAGAATAAGGCAAGCACCATGACAGGGAAGGTCCCTGGAAGATTTTACCCCCATGTAGAATGCTTTACCGCAGGGGTCCCCAACCTGATCCATAGACCAGCACTGGGCCACGACATACCAGAAACTGAGCCATGCAAATAAGTGAGGCCCTGACCACAGGATGAAGGCAGCACATGAAACCACACCCACTCCAGCCTGCAGAAAAACCATGAAACCATTGTCCATGGAACCAGCTGTTGGTGCCCAAAAGGTTGGGGGCCACTGCTTTATGTTAGTTCAAGCTGGAGGTGACTAGGGCCAAGGAGATTTTATAACAAAAGTGCTTTTCTAAAAAAAAAAAGACCACTTGGATTTCACTTGATTTAGCAATGTATTTTGCTCTAAGGCAAAATACAAAAAATCCCAATACGTCAAGTGATGCTACTGTGACAATGGGAATTTGACTCTAAGGTCTTCTTCAGACTGCCAGGTTGTCCCATCAACAATGTGAATTAGCCAAGGGATGTTTTGGGATGGTAGAGTTGGTAGGAATGATGGTAGGACAATATTACTCTGCATTCATATCTCACATTGATTACTTTGCAGAGGCAGGAATGTTTACTCAAATGACCAATTAGTTACCACAGTCTTTAATATCTTTTAAAACCACTTTCACTGATAGTTCTACATTAGTGTGGTAGATAGAATAGTTGCTTGGTATAGAGAATATTTCTAGTTTCAGTCAAGGTGTGTGTGTGTGTGTGTGTGTGTGTGTGTGTGTGTATGCTTTCCTTAACACAATATACTTAATTTATTAAGTGAAAAAATCCAGCAATGTACTATTTCAGAATTACTTTGTCAGTAATCTGTGCTTTAAAAAAAATATTTATATTTTTTAAACAGTGAAGTTAAAAAAAGAAACTGACTTCACCAAAATATTTTTTTTGTGATTATAGAGATAGTCCTCAACTTACAAGCATTCATTTCCCAATAGTTCGAAGTTACAATGGGATGCATGACTAGTCCTCACACTTGTGTAAAAAAAAAAAAAAGGACTGGTTACTTATGACCATTACAATATCTCCAGAGATGCATGATATAAATTTAGGCACTTGGCAACTGGCATGTGTTTATGACAATTATATTTCTTATAATTTGTTCTATCGCCAGAACAAAGCTGACTCGAATACCAGAGTTGAATTCAGCTCTTTATTAGCAACCAGTAACTTCAACTGAAGTCGAGCCACGGCAGTCCTTTTTACAGCGTCTGCTCACAGCTCACAACCAATGGCATGTGTTTAAACTTCCCGCCACTTATGTGGCCAATCGCATCCTGTTGTTCTTAACCAATCAATATGCTGTGTTAACTAACCAATAAGAATGTAGTATTAGAAGTCTGTATTTGAATACACTACACCCCCCCCTTGGTTCGCTCCAACGTTATGTGATGTAATCGCGCAGGTAGGCGGGGCTTTTGTGAGTCCTAGTTGACCTGCGCAGTTCAGTCTCTGTGTTGGTCTCCACCGGTTCGGACAGGCCTGCTGTCCTTCCCGTTCTTGTCCTAGGAACCTCCTGGAAGGGTGCCTCAGCCATGCCGCTCCCCCCACACCTTGTTGGATGGTTGGCATGGTCTCCTGGCATTGTGTGTGGGCAGGTAGAGTCGGCTTGGTTGCTTCTTTCCTGGAGTTCCTTGAGTTCTCTTTTTTTGGAGTCTTCTAATTGTGAGTAATTTTAATTTTTTTCTGGGTTCTCGGTTTCTGGTTGGTGGTTTGTAACCAGACTATTTTCATTTCCTTTATTATTTAAGGGTTCCCCCCCACCTCTGGTTTTGTTATTACTATCTGGGGGTGCTTGGGAAAATGTTTGCTCCGTGTTTCGGGGAATGTTGGTGTTTCGTTCGATGTGTCGTGACCGTCGTTAATCGATGTGTTTTTTCCACGATCTGCCATCAGCTGTTTCTAGTCGGTATGAACAAGGGCCTGTGATTTGTGTGATTGTTGCCGGTAACCACAATGGTTCTCCGGTAAGATTCTTTGCATATACTAAGTCACCTGGTAAGAAAGAGCGGTACTTACTGGAAGAGTCTGGTGGCTTTTCGGGGTTGTAAGTGGGGTGCAGTCTATCCAAGTAGGAGCGTAACTTTCTTCCCATCAGTAGTTCAGCTGGGCTCTTGTTTGTTGTCGTGCAATGTGTTATATGTTGGATGGTGAGCGTGGTATTGACTTTTTCTGGCCCGTAGGAACACAAGGCTTGCGTCACTTGCATTGTGAACAACACAAGGTAGTGAGGGAAGGGGAAAAGGGTGGAGGGGAGAACTTGCCCCATTCACCCCATGCACCTCACCTGGCCACCGAGTTGCTTCTTTCCACTTCTTTCTTCTCCTGCTTTTGGCTGCATGCAAGGAAAGCAGCAAAAGTCTTTCTTTCTCTCCTTCAAACTCCACCAGAAATGAGTCTTTGGGACCCTGCAAGGCATCCTGCTCCAAGAGGCTGTGCCAGCGCACAAGTCTCACTAGGACTCATTTCTCATTTGGGGGAGGGCAAGCTTTTCTAATGCTTCTTTCGTGTAACGAACTATGCGTTCCGCCCTCCCGTTCACCACCGGGTGAGCTGGCACTGTCAAGGCATGTCTTATTCCTTGTTCCACTAGGAATTGTTCAAAAGCCAAGGCTGTAAACTGAGGCCCATTGTCCAATACTACTACATCTGGTAGACAAAAAGTGGCAAAAAGTTTTTTAGTTGCTTGGTGATGGCTTCTGTTGTTGTTGAATTCATGATGATGACTTCCAACCAGTTGGAATAGGCATCCACAATGATTAGATAAGTATATCCTTTAGTGGGGCTGGCAAAGTCCATATGTATTCTTGACCAGGGGCCTCTGGGTGTTTCCCAGTCAAGAACTGGAGCTGAAGGGGGGGGGTCTGGATGATTGGCATTTGTTACATGTTTTGACCCAGGCTTCAATGTCTTTATCTATTCCTGGCCACCAAACATAGCTTCTGGCCAGGGACTTCATCTTTACCACGCCCAGGTGTCCCTCATGTAACATGTTTAGCACGTTTTCTTGTAATTTTTGTGGAACAACTACTTGGTCTCCCCACAAAATGCACCCTTTTTAAATTGATAATTCAGTTTGTCGGTTTTTTAAAAGGTTTAAAAGTCTCGTTTTTTTCATTTTCCGGCTAACTCCGTCCTACCCAGTTTAGTATTCGGGCTATCAGTGCATCTTTAGCCATTTCCCTTGCAATGCCCGATGCGGTGATGGGCCAATGTGGAATCGTTTCAATTTGTAGGGCCTGCGTGGTGGGAGCTGGATCGTCATCATGACCTGGTAGTGGTGAATGGCTTAATGCGTCTGCATGGGGTATGGCTTTCCCTGGACGATAAATTAGTTTGTAATTGTAGGCTGCAAGAAATTCTGACCATCTTGTCATTCTTGGGGATAGGATGTTGGGGGTGGCCCTGTCTCCAGCTAGGATTCCCAATAGAGGTTTGTGGTCAGTTATTAAAGAAAATGTCCTACCGTATAGGTGTTCGTGGAAATGTTTCACCCCCAAGATGGCTGCCAAAGCTTCCCTATCCATCTGGCCGTAGTTTCTTTTGGTCTTGGACAGCGTCTTGGAATAAAAAGCGATCGGTGGGAGATGGGAGGAGCTTGCGCCGTGGCGATACGGTCTGCAATCGAGCTCCTCGATTGCAGCCGATATCTCCGCCACTGGCCGGTCCAACGGACCTACGCTGTCCCGTAGGGACAGCCATCGTGAAGAGCATATCCTGAGGATTCCGGGGATACCGCAAAATCCCTGGAGAGCCCGGGTGAAGCTCTTCTTGCCAGCGGCGGAGAGGCAGCCCCCATGCTGCTGAGGCTGGGGCGACTCCAGACGGAAAGAGTTTGAGAAAGAGTTTGTCGGTTGGGTGAGAACTTCTTTTTTTTATTTAATTTTTTGAATTTGGAAAGTTTACTCTAATTATCTGAAGAAACCTGTGTGATTTTTGTTTTGTTTTTTGACAAAATTGATTTAGCGGCGTTTTTTTAGGGAAACGTCAAAGAGAGAATCCATTTTTTTT